CTCCCCTCGTTCTCTACGAACTTGGTGAGCAACGCTGTCCTTCAGGACCACTGGGTTGATACCTTCACCCCTGGAGGACAGCGTGTGGCGATCTGCACATGCTCCAGGACTGGGCGACACCTGGCCACGTTCACGCGTGCGCCAGGGTCGAGCCTTTACACACTGACCACTGTGTCACCCCAGGTCGCTGCTGTCGGTCAGGCGTCTGTGTCAGGTCAGCTAGACTCCCCTTGCTCGTGTCGCTCCCTGTCGCACCAGACCGTTCTCTGGCACCACCGTCTGGGCCACCCCTCCCTGCCCCGTCTTCGTGACATGCACCGTCGCGTCCTTGTGTCTGGTCTTCCCCGGACCCTGCCTCCCCTCCCTGCTTCGCCTGCCCCGGCCTGCCTTCCTTGCGTCGAGGGGCGGCAGCGCGCAGCTCCACTCACTCTTCGTTTCCTGCCTACTATCTTAACATGTACCCCCTCCCCTCTGACCTAATCTTATCACTTCTCCTTTGTCTCTTAAAGCTCGCGGCTCAAATTGCATGGCACGCTGGGCATGATTACTATTGTGCAGCTTCTGTTTTGGGTGCTGTGAGTTGGCAAATTTGGGGTTACAGTGTGTACAAAGGATTCTGATTGGCCGAAGCCAAAATCCACTACGAAAATATCAAGTTTCAGCTTTCCCCAAGATGGGACTTTCATTCCCAACCAGAAGGTTGGCCCTGGGTTTGCTGCGTTAGCGAAAAAAGCATTTATTGTTGCAAGCGACAGGGCAAAAACAGTCAAGCCCACCATCCCAACTTTGAGTTCACCTTCTAGACCATCCAGCCCAAAGCCTTACGCAATATTACTATTCTTGCGCAACTAGGGCCTTGAGCTTTAATATGATATTAGAGCTCAGGTTAGGACCGGTACTACCCTACATTGTTTTTTTTTTTTTTTTTAACTGCCCATTGGTTGACATTCAAGCTGCCCCGCGCCTTAGATTTCCGCTGCTCTGCTACTCAGCGCGACGCGCGCCCCGCGCTGCCCTGATCGCGATTTCCCCTGCCCCACCTGATCGCGAACCCCTGCCCCACTGCCCCGCACGATACGCGCACTACCTATGCCCCGCTGCCCTGCGCGCGGCGCGTGCCCCAACTGCCCCGCGTGACGTGTGCTCCGTTTCCCCCGCTGCCCCGCTGCCGTCGCGCCGCTGCGCCGCAGCTTAGTAGCAGCTGCTCCGCGACCTGCTGCCCCTTGCCGCCGCTGCGGCTACTACTGCCAGCAACTGCAGCCGCTGCTACAGCCACTGCACCATCCACTACAGCAACTGCTGCCACTACCACAGCCGCTGCCGCTGCTATAGCTGCTACAACGGCCACTACAGCCACTGCAGCCGCCGCACTAGCCACTGCAGCCGCCACTACAGCACAGCAGCCGTCACTACAGCACTGCAGCCGCCACTACAACACTGCAGCCGCCACCACAGCAGCTACTGCCGCTCCCGCTGCTATAACTGCTACAGCGGCCACTACAGCCACTGCAGCCACCGATACATCCACTGTTGCCGCTGTTGCTACAGTCACTGCAGCCGCCGCTATAGCCACCGCAGCCGCCACTACAGCAGATGGTGCCACCGATACAGCCGCTGCCGCTTCTATAGCTGCTACAGCGGCCACTACAGCCGGACAGCTGCCGCTACAGCCACTGCAGGCGCCGCTACATCCGCTGCAGCCGACGCTACAGCCACTGCAGCCGCCACTACAGCAGCTGCTGCCACTGCTACAACCGGTGCCGTTGCTATAGCTGCTATACCCACTGCTACTTCTGCCCGCTGCCGGCACAGCCGCAGCTACAGCCGCTGTGGCTGCATGCTGCTACCGCTACAACCGCTACAAATGCTAAGCCTACTGCTTCCGCCCACTGCTGCTACAGCCGCCACTATTGCCACTACTGCCTGCTGCCGCCGCCACTACTGCCAGCCACTGCCGCTGCTGCTGCCGGCCGCCGCTACTGCTGCGACCTCCCTTGCAATTACAGCCGCCATAGCCGCTGTAGCCGCCCTTGCCGCTGTAGCCGCCCTTGCCTCTACAGCCGCCCTTGCTACTGCATCGACCACCACTATTGCAACCACCCCTTATTGCTGCAGCCGCAGCCACTGCCACTGCTGCCATTGCAACTTCTGTTACAGCAGCCACAGGCATGGTTGCTACTACCGGCCTTGCGCCGCTCCTGCCGTCTGCCGCTGCCCGCCATGGCCACGATCACTGTCCTAGCGGTTGACGCAAACGGGCACCCTTTTGAGTTAGAGTTGTGACTCGAGTGCCTGTGCCGGTACCTCTCGCGTTTCATTAGAGATGGCGTCTCCTTGTTCGAGCAAACATCGCGGTCTTTTCGGGAACCCACGACCCATACTGAGCCTTCTACTGACGTCGGCGAGGACGTACGAAGGCGGTATCGGGCGGACCGGGGTGCTTGCACATGGTGGACGGAGCGTGACGCTGTCGCCCAGCTTGCTGTCCATGCTCACCTGCCGTTTGACCAGAGGGCCCACTTTCGTCAAGTGACGTTGGCTTAGACTTTCAACAACACTGTAATTAGGCACTACTCCACCCTCTCTCCTGCCATTCAGTCGCGGCAGCCACGGCGTGCAGTGTTCTGGGAGTGGCAGCAGCTGGTCGAGGAGGTGTGTGTAGGTGCTTGTGAGTCTGCTCGCACAGGTCGGCGTCTCCCACCTTCGGCTACTGTGTTCCATGTCGCTGGTACTACTCATCCTTCACTGTTTCCACCACCTGACCCGTCTCAGGCGCCGTTGCCTACTGACTCCCTTCTACCTGCTCCTTTGCACTACTCCTCATTGACCATGTCCCTGACCGAGCGTTGGGACCCTCAGTCTCGTACTTCCTCTCCTGCTACCTCGCCTGGTCATGCTCGTGCTTCTCATGCTCAACGTGTTTGTCCTCCTCCTGTTCCCAGTGAGCACACTATGGCACTTCGTCTTTTCTTTATTGCATAGCGTACTGCTCTGTCGTCTCCTCCCGGGTCCCCTCTCCCCCACGTTCTTGACCCTGAGTCTGACCTTGCTCGTGCTACTAGTCCGACAGTCACTCGTCTACTGTCCACAGTTGTCACAGAACCTACATTTGAGTATTCTGCTGCGTCTGCCTTGGTTATCGAGCTCGTTGACTTTGCTGCTGTGTGTCACCTTGACTACTTCACGAGTCTCATTTCTAACTCTGACTCTGCCTGTCCTCTATTTGTCAAGGGGTAGTTTTTCCTTGGCTGTGACATCCCGACCCCGCGCTCTTGCGCAGAGGCGATCACAAGTCCTTACTCCTCTTAGTAGCAAACAGCCATGGACGCAGAGATGGCATCCTAGAAGTCCACAGGCACCTATGTCAACGAGGTTCCCCCTCCTGGGGCGAACATAGTCGCTAGCATGCGGCTTTTCAGGGTGAAGCGGCCGTTGGGTTCTCCGCCTGTCTTCAAGGCGCGTTACGTTGCACGAGGCTTCAGTGAGCATCATGGTGTTGGCTTCTTCAATACCTTCTCCCCCACCCCGAAGATGACTACTATTCGATTGTTACTGCATGTTGCAGCACTACTTGACTACGAGCTGCACTCGCTTGACTTCTCGGCAGCTTTCTTGAAGGTAGTATCTGAGAGTAAGACAACTTTGCTAGGCATTACTTGCTTGCCTTTACTTTATTATGCCTTATCTAGTATTGTGCAACAAGTATGTCCAAGTGAGTGGATTCTCACCTTTGGTCTTAAATGTCATGGGTTCAACTCTCATCAATTGCACTTCCCACTATTGTTATGCCCTCTAAGGCATGTTCATACTCCACCACACTCACCCACAATGAAGTGTGGTCACAGTTGGCATTGACATCTATCCACTCATTCCATACTCACCTTACTGACTCCTATACGGTGCCACATGCTACCATGTAGGCTGATGTTCCAGCCTCATTCACATGAGCAACATGAGGCCTCAGTTGCTAGAATTGCTAGGTTAGCTAGCCTTGCCCTCAGCTTTGAGGTGCTACAGCTAGCCTTAAGAGTTCAGCCACATATATGTGGCTTCCCACTTCTCTTGAATCATCCTTGGACAAGGACATTGCTCTAGCCTCTCAGGCATCTTCCTACCAAGTATATGTTTTTTCTTCTCTCATTGTGCCCTAAGTTCACCGATCCTCATTCTACATGCTATCAGAGCCAGGCTTCTAGCTTTGCGAACGTTGCACACTTGATGGCTCAAGTTGAGATGCCTCTTGGTCAGCACACCCTTCCCATATTGGAACCAGATGGTTCCAGCTTCATTCCACGGATGAAAAAGATCTTGTACATCTTCAACGTCCTTGGGTTGATTTCCCTTCTTGGAGATCCCAAGGTTGCTTCGCGTTCTTCAATCTCCTCTTCCACAACAAGCGGTGGAGAGGCTACCGAAGGCAACAGCGGTGCAGCCCCTAAAACAGCCCACTCAATTGCTTCACTGCCGGATGAAGAAAAAGAGGAGCATGCATACGATCTTCTCATGTCGGCCGTTTATCATCAACTATCGCTCACTCTTGCTCAAGCCAACACGACAAAGGATATGTGGGGATTCATCATGGCACGGTTCGACAGCATGGGCAACCAAGCAGAAGTGGCTCTCCTTCGGGATCTCATCACTACACAGATAGACCCTACAACAAGCTCCTACATCAAATGAGTTGGAAACCTTACACACCAACTCAAATTTGCCAGCTTCGAGTTACCACCATGGGTGGTGGTAGTCTCCATCATCTTCAATCTTTTGGAATCGTTCAAGACCCTTACTGAAATCATTTGCACCATGAAAGATATCAAGTCTACAACCGTTAAATTCCTCCAGTCACGCCTATTCGGTGCTAAGTGGGAGTGGTCACAATCTGGTACAAGCCACAACATGGAAGGTGCATACAACCTCAATTCCCAGCCCTCCCACCCTCTTCGCTCCAGTTCCCGCCAGACGCCTACCTGCCGTTACTGCAAGAAAACTGGTCACACCATTTACGAATGCTTCAAGTTGAAGAAGAAGAAAGAGCTCGAAGAAAGCTCTAGATGGGAGAAATCCGTCATCCAGCCTTCGGTGCATGTCTCCACAAGCTCCTCTACTGAAATGACTCCGACCCCCACACCACCTCCTATCCCATCAGCCCTCAGTCCGTACCTAATTCCCGGTACGTTGACATGGCTTTCAGCACCAGCCACCACCCCATCTTCCCCATATGGACTCATCTCACCGCTGCTGTCTTCATATTCACCATCCTCCTCCTCCTCCTCCTCCTCCTCCTCCTCCTCCTCCTCCTCCTTCTCCTCCTCCTCCTCCTCCTCCTCCTCCTCCTCCTCCTCCTCCTCTTCCTTTATGGGTCTCCTTACGCATCAGCATTCACGGCCTCTTCATCCAATATGGTCCGGACTTCGTCCTGGCTGGTGGACAGCGGTGCATCCTTCCATATCTGCTCGGATTGCTAGTTGTTCTCGTCTGTCCAGAAGCCAAACGATGATATTATTGCTCGTTTTGGTGGAGGAGAGACTTACACGGTCTTGGGAGTCATCACTGTGGTGGTTACTCTTCGTTCACAAACATAAAAAACCACGATCTAGCTGGACAAGGTTATATTTCTCCCTTCATGAGTTCACAACACGCTCTCTGTTCGTGCACTTGGTGCTGCCGGCATTGCTGCTGGGCGAGTTGTTCTTACGACTGATGAAGCTCCTGTTGGCGCGGGTTATACCCGCATCAACCTGTTTTATCTTCAACAGCATCATAAGAGTAGTGTTGCTCCTTCTATCAAGCCAAGAGAATGTCTAGTCTCCACCACCACCTCCTCGTGCCTTTGGCATTGTCATTTCTGGCATCTCAACATGCGGGACTTGTCAACACTTCATCGGCGGCAGCTGGTCACAGTACTTAACCTCTCCTCCACCTCAATTCTCCAATGCATCTCGTGCTATCGTGGGAAATAAACACGTCAACCGTTTGGCGTGTCCCATTCCCGCACCACATCACCACTCCAACTCATTCACTCGAAAATTGTTGGACCATTTTGTTGGATGCACGTCATTCTGAGTGAATGTCTTCCTGACGTCATGCCGAGTGCTCGTACCATTAATGCTTGCATGATTTGCATGAGCATATGTCATTACGCATGGCTATTGGATTTTACCACCTCTGTGTTTTTTCTCCAATTTTACATGCTTTATCATGCACAATAAATCCAAAGCTTTCCAACGATACCAAGATCGCCTTATTTTGACTAAGATCACCCAAGTTATAAGATTTCCAAGTCTTGAGATTTCTATCTCGTTTTGATATATTACCTACTTTGGGCAATTATTGGGACATTGCTATTTAGGGATCTTTGGTAAGGTGGTTGGGAAGGCAAATTTGACTTTTGGATTGGGGTGGCTAGAAGTTTCTAGCATGGGTTGCAAATGTTGCAACACCTAGGCAAAATCCAACTAGATTGGATTTTGCACGTAACACCTCAAGGACTTCGTGATAACGGTTGCATCTTTGCTGCTAGAAAGGTTCCTACCATCCTTCCCTAGCTATTGGAGAAGACCTTCCCTCTCATGGTTCTCTTGGAGCCCCCAACTTTAACCTATTCTATGCCTTCTTGCTTGTACTTCCTCCACTATTCTAGTCATGCGTCTGCTGGACGTTATCGATTTGTTCTCATTCCCTCGACCATCTTTTTAAGTGCATCAAGTTGGAGATGGTAGCTAAGCCTAAGGCACAATATCCTACTGAGGAGATTTGCGTTTAGTTGAAAATTAAGTTCGTCGTAAGCTCTCGAAGTGACGGATCTTGAACAAGTGGTATCAGAGCGGGTAGTCGACTTTGAGACGACGAATCGTCATGAATTTTCAACCAATTTTTACAAGTGAGACCATTTTATAGTAGCTCTGCTTTTCGATTGATGGTCGAACTGCGATTTAATACCAACTATGCAGACCGCCACAACGATTTTTGTAAACTAGAAATTTCCGACAGAATCTTGTCAAAGCGATACCTCAAGTTTCCACCGTTCATAGAGCCTCATTATGATTGTCATCTTCTACACCATCTCCTACAACCGTGAATCGTATTAAGGCTTTCTCTATTGAGAAATTCATAGGTGAGGACTACGAGCACTGGAGCTTCCGCATGAGGCTGATGTATACCCGAAACAAACTACAAGACTTGGTGAAAGAGAAAATGCTGGAGGCTGCAGAGTTGAAAGGAGCGTGGATGATGCGATCGTTCGACGCGTACATGCTCATGGTTCTAGCGGTTGGCGGACGACAACTCGACCATATCAAGGACCTCTTGGGTGATCTAGAATGTAGACACAAGGTTTGGAGGAAGCTTTAAGATGTGCACTCACCGACACGCTACCGGCATCATGCTACTCGCACGGCGGCTGCGCGACATCAAGTTCGTTGATGGAGAGCCAATGCAACCGGTGTTGGACAAGATGCGCGACATCTTCACAAAGCTCCAAGGTGGCTGTGTGGTGTATCTAGAGTTCGTGCAATGCGTGGAGATTGTGATACGGCTACCAGATTCATGGGTGCCCTTGCCATCAACCTAAACTCCCAACAACCCCAATGGAGCGTGGATTACATCCGGGCGTGCATTCTTGAGGAGGACTTGCGGCGGCAGAGTGTGGAGCGCTCGGAGGAGGGGGCTGGCTATGGAGTTGGAGGTGGAAAAAGTGGCTTCAAGAAAAAGTGGAAGGGCAAAAACAAGGGCAACCCTAAGGAGGATGGCGGCGGGGGTCAAGGGGAGGTGTGATTCTACTGCAAGAAGCGCGGACATCGTTGACGGAAGTGCAACCAACGACCCAAGGATTGGACCACGCCTTCATCAATCAACCAGCACGGTGGCAAGAGGATTGGGGGAGTCGTGGGAGCTAGTGGAGAGGAGAAGGATGAGGAGAAAGGTGGCGAATCTGAGGAGCGGAAGGTCGGGTTCTTCTTCTTCGTGAACGAAGGCGCAACCGACCACGCTATGGCTGCCAAGGCTCTCCTACACCCCCTCACCCATTGGGTGATTGATTCCGAGAGCTCCTGGCATATGACTTCTCGTGCGAACCTACTCGATGAGATTCAGCCCGCACCCATCTCTACAGTCACATCCGCGACGGGCGCCAAGGCCAAGGTTATGTGCCTGGGATGCGCCAAGTTCATGGGAGCGGATGGAGAGCTCGTGGGGCTGAAGAACGTGCTGTGGGTGCCGGACTTGTGCGCGAACCTGATTTCTACCAGTCGATTGGGAGATGCGGGTGTGAACACCGAGACGATTGACGCAGAGCGGTATCGTGCCTACAACAATGAGCGCCTCATTTGGGACCTGCAGCAGAAGGGAGATGTCCACAAGCTCATGTGGCAGATCCCGGTCCTCCCTTGGCAGAAATCGGGTAAGGAGGCAGCCGTGGCATCTATGAGGAGCAGCAAGGTGTGCAAGGAGACAAGTTGATTGGAGGAAGCGCGGCTGTGAAGGCGTCGCCTACCTCGGGTCAAGCAGATTAGAAGACTTGGTATCGATGACTCGCACACGTGGCTGTATCTATATTGGAGGTAACGCGCACGGAGAAGTGCATGCATGGGCTGCAACTGCAAGGAGATGGCGCTTACTATGGTAGCTGCGAGGCGTGCATGCAAAACAAGTTTGCGCGGTTCCCGTTTCCACGTGCAGAAGGATCAGCGAAGGCACCCTTGGAGGTGGTGCACATGGACCTGGTGGGTCCTATAAGGATGGAGAGGACTGGGGGAGTGCTGTACTTCCTCACCATGGTGGACGAATGGAGCCGTTTCACGTGGGCACGTCCCTTGTCTAAGAAGAGCGATGCTGCAGCGGCGATCAAGGAGGATTGGTTGCCGATGGTTGAGCGGCAAGCGATGCGGCTTGTGAAGGTGCTGAGGAGCGACCGTGGTGGAGAGTTCCTGAGAGCGGAATTCACCAAGTTTTTTGAGAAGAATGGCATTTGACACCAGCTAACATGCCCATGAACATCGCAGCAGAACGACATTGCTGAGCGTGCCAACCGGACCATTGGCGAGGCGGCTAAGACCTAGTTGGGGGCTGATGGGATGCCCTACAAGTTCTGGCCTGAAGCTGTTCGCCATGATCAAGATCAGGGTCTTGACGCATGTTGGCGACAAGCACTGGGTGCAGTACGAGCGTTGGCTTGGGAAGAAGCCATCCATTGACATGCTGTGGGTGTGGGGCTGCATGGGGCTTGTGATGGGGCCTAAGGAGCAGAGGCACGACCTGAAAGTTGCCGATGTGTGGGCTGTCCATCTTGGGATGGCTCCTGACTCAAAGGGGTGGCTAATGTGGGACCCCAAGAGCAAGAAGACACTGGTCAGCCGTAACGTCAAGTTTGTGGAGGACGTCATATACAGAAACTAGCACCAGCAGAAGCAGACGCAGATTGGCTTGCTTTTGCAGGAGATTGGGCGATCTGCAGTGGAGGAGGTTCAGCTGCACCTTGATGATCTCCTTGGGTCAGAGCTGACCAGTAACCACAGTGGCGGTGGTGAGCAACAGGTTTCTGGTGCTGCTGCGGAGGAGGGGTTGGAGGATGAATCGACATGTGTGGACTCACCATCTCAGCCCGAGCCTTTTGCAACCGCCAAGGTCACCAAGAGGAGTGTGCAGAAAGGAGCTTCACTACAAGGGCAGCAGACTGTAATTCGCAAGAAGAGAGTGGCAGCACCACCTTCAAGGCTTAAGTACAGCCGTTTAGGATGACCCAAGCAAGGTGCCATGGCGGTCCAGCCACAGTGGAGGAGGCACTAAGTAGACCCCAGAAGGAGGAGTGGAAGGCTTCCATGGATGTGGAGTTCAACAGTCTCATTGAGAATGGGACTTGGGAGCTTGTTGAGTTACCCGAGGAGCGACGGCCGATCAGCAGCAAGTGGGTCTTCAAGGTGAAGAGTGGAGCTGATGGTGCGTTGGAGCAGTTCAAGAGCCGCTTGGTCACCAAGGGTTTCAGCAGAAAGAGAAGGTTGTTAAGCAAGTGTCATTGAGGATTGTCCTGGCTGTCAACGGGAGTTGGGTGTTGGCCCCGTTCTCGCTTGGGCGGAGCCGACTTCGTGGTCGGATGTAGGGGTGCAGCCGACCTACAGCAGTGGGCGAGCTGGCCGACGAAGTTGGTCGACCTGCACGGAAGCCACTGCAAGGGCGCCGATTTCGGGAGGGCGTCAACTGCGGCTGGTCGACCTGGGAAGTCGACCTGCAGAGGGCGTCGACTTGGTGACGCCAACTTGGGGCAGCCGACTTGGGGTGGTCGGCTGACAGACCTGCTGGTCGACCTGGTTGGTCGTCCGGGCCCGCTGGTCGACTTGGTGGTTGGTCGACCAGGCGTGAGGTCGACCTGGTGGTCGACCATGAGTGACGTCGACCTGGAGATGGTCGACCAGAGGTAGTGGTCGACCTGGTGAGGTCGACTGGAGGTGGCCGTCGACTGGAGTGGTCGACGGGCACGCACAGGAGCAGCTGGTCGACGTGGTTGCCCGGTCGACCATGTTACCTGGGTGACGAGGGTCTGCGAAGGCACGCGAA